TAAATTCCAAACATTACGATTCAGTTCTTCATGGTTCTTCATGTCCTTGTTATAACAAACCATGCATCGGGTTACATTAAAAGTTGACAGAATGGCAGTGCAAGTATATGAAGAAAAAACAAACAAAGAAAGTTGTCATGAATTGGACTATAATAGCTTACACTAGTTTCAATGAAAATAAGCAGAGTAGCAAATTAGCAATTAAAGCTTTTTTTGTTTTTTTTTAGTTCGTTCTTCCCACAAAACCTTCTCTATGGAATCACAGGATCAAAATAAACCTCCTGCAATCTCACAATCCCAATTCCTCCTAACTTTTTACTATACAGAACAAATCCCACCAAGAACAATGTGTCAACGAGGCAAAAGATGAGAAGAAAAGCTAGCCATTTTGGTTTTTGTTTTTTTTTTTTAAATCCTTCTTCTCAAATCTGGATAGTGTCTGTTTTGATGTTGGAGCATAAGGGAAAATGATTGTGGGGTTTGGTTTAGGGGTAATTGATCAATCTGAATGAGTCAAAGCAGCTACTTCTATCTCTTGCTTCTTCTTCAAATGTCTCTGTGCAGTAGCTGTCACAATCTTGACGAAGAAGTTGAGGAGCATGAGCCACACTATCCCGTTCCAGATCGATGCAAACGAAAAATCCCATTTTTTCACCTACCAAACAAACAAACAAAATAACAATTTCAAGAGAAGTAGCAAGAAACTTCATAGTCTAGAACTTTCAGCTAAATGTAAGAACACAAAGTTTCTCAAGAACGAAAAGGTTGTTTTGTTCTTTACCTTGATATGAGATGGAACAGGGGGTTGTGCATCAATATACTTTTCTTTCATGGCGTGGAGTTTGGCTGTGAGTCCAGGCAACACAGATGCCAAACCAGGGACATGGCTAAGTATCCAGATCAGCTCGTTCTCCATCCAATCGAGCAGTTGGTTATTACAAACGCAGATGATAAAGATTGTCTTCATTGACACAGAAGAAACAAAGTTAATAACCGTTTTAGGTGTTAGAATAGGTCTAGAGGGTACAAATCGAATCTAATGAGACATAAGGTTCCACACCTGTATGTGAGTTTTGATGATCGCCTTTCCGATTAAAGTTGCCAGAAAGAATTCCCAAAAAGGGACTCCAAATTGTCCACACATTATTCCAGCAAGGTCAAACAGAGGATTTGGGACCTGTACTCAAAGAGAAGAAGTGTTGGTCATTATGTTGATCAAAGGATTTAGGACACTTGAATAAGGTCCTGATCATTGAATGTAGTTCCCAAAAATCCTAGAAAGGAAAGGATATTTGCAAGATTGCAAAAACCGTTGTAATCAAATTGCTAATGCAGAAGGGGAAAGTTAAGTTGGAGGATGTAATACTTACTGAAGCAAGAACCAAGACAGTAAAGAAATTCAAGTGCTGCGAATGGGTTAATAGCCAACGCTTTATCCGGTTCAGGTAAGTCGCCATAAATCCACTGTCCTCAGATGAGGAAGCATCTAAAGCTTCCATTCCATCCACTGTACTCCCAGAAATACTAGCTGGCAAAATTTTCAAAACACACAGTAAATAACCGAAACCTATGCAAACAAAACGCATTGGCGAATTATCAAGATGACACGAAAAATCAGAGAGAAACAATAGACTAACCTGCCCTAGAGATGAAATATGGAGGAAGCTCCCCAAGAGCTGTCCCAATACCCCACAAAATCGCCTCTAATTGGACTTGTGGCAATATGCTGGTAAGGGGAACACGAGATCCAGCAGCTGATATCATTAAAGGAGGGCCAAATTCTGAACACGATTTGTCAAGCCACGAGGGAACACGTTTCAGCTGTATTGTATCATATGGTGCAGATTTCAGATCAACTCGGCCACATTGCGTTGCCTTTAGAGTGAACAAAGCAATGTGTGGACCCAAATAGAGAACGAAAGTGTGAAGACCAGATCCTACGGAAGAAAAAGAATAGTAATAAGAATGATGTTAAAATGCGAAAAGATTACGCCTTTTTTTGGTGTGTGTGACTAACCAAGACCAATAGAAGATGCGACGCCAAGTGCTATCCACCATAAGCCAAACCGGACATACTCTAATAGTTCTTCAACATGCTGTAACAACAAATACACATCATGTTGGTCCCTTTTCTTATTGCCAAATCCGAAAAGTGTAGTTTTAAATGAAGAAGCCAGAGAAAGAGTTTACCTTTCCATGAGGTCCATCAACAGTGACAAGCAAAACTCCGAATCCCACTAGCAAAGTGGTTACAAGCATGAACCAACCTCCATGAGCCAGCAGATACGATATCGATCGCTTGATGTACTGAAAAGTAGCTTCAACAAACAGCTTCAGTGTGTTCAGAGGTTGTGTCGTCAGTGTTAGATTCTCTATTTCCTTCTCATGCTTCTCACGCAGAGCTACAATTTCAACACACAGATTATATTAATCCCCACAATGTGAGTTTCCTATTTCAGCTAAGAAATCATCTGAAAAAATCTACAATCTCCCTCTATATTTCGAACAAAACTGTAAATCTAAAAACATAGAAAGCCATAAAATTCAGATCTCGAAACTATAATCCCTTACTCTTCTCCCTTGATCGGAACGAATTGGCGATGAAACCCAATGAACAATAGATAACCTAAAAAAAAAAAAGGTAGAGATAAAAGAGAAACTCGCCTGAGATCGTTACATCGGAAGAAGAAGAACTCGCGACAGCGGCGGATCCCATCTCTGTGTGTATCTAATTGAGTCACCAGCGACTAAAACTATATCTCAACAGGATAAAGGGAGGATCTTTAACATAGATTCGGGTGTTTTGAGGGATATTAGAACATGGGTTCGGTCGAATTCGAGATGGGCAGAAACAGATTTTGCTTGGAAACAAAAAAGAAACGATTTTTCGATTTAAAAAGGATTTGTTTTTTCTTTGTAACGTGACGTGTGGGCTTTGGTTGAGATAAACCAACGGAACAGAGGTGAGAAGATCTGGACTTTGTTGTAGAAGTCAGATATGGAATAAAGAGAATCGAAGCAAACGCAAACTAAAAAGTTACAGTTTGTAAACTCTCTAAGTCGTCTAGTGTCATTGATATGAGGACACTGGGCCCGATACGGTTTCTATACAAAAATAATTTGAGACTAGATTAAGCCCGCGTAGTTGGACAACAAAAAATTCATTCGCAAAATTTATGTTGTAAATCTTTTTTTTTTATGTTCTAAATCTTTGATTTTTTATCTTTAGTAAAAACTATTAAAATCTATACTATTATTTGTGAAGTCAAAAATCTTAGGTGTCGTCTCCGCATCGATCGTTTTACGTATCATTAATATATGTCATTTTAATTGATTTTCATTGGTCAATCATTAATCTTACATGTTAAATATCTATAACATGGATTTTCCTACGATAATGGGTCAACGAATTTGTTCATGGACTCCTTCGATAATGGTCCAACGAGATAGGCCACGGATTTTGTATTCGATCATAGCCGCCGATTCTCGAAACTCTAAACCTTAAAACATCTATCGCATTATATATACCTCTATTGTCTACATATTTGTTTGAACGTACAAAAATCGTCTTCTGTAATTGTCAATGCTTTTTCTTTTTCTCTAGCAATCTTCTTCTTTATTATTCATAAAACTATAAGTTGTTAGTTTTCCTTGATTGTTTTCTTTATTGTTTGTATAATTTAGTCTCTTTTTCTCTAGACGTTTTCTTCTTTATTGTTTGTATAACTATAGGTGGTTGGTTTTACTTGATTGTCCTATGTGTCTTTATTAAAAAAATTATGTGGTGTTTTAATTAGTTCTTATAGGTCGATCATTAATCATTCGTGTAAGTACCCGTGACATGGCTTTTTCCTTGATTATAGGCCAACGATTTTGTTTGTAGGCCACTGATCTTGAAGTCGGCCCTAGCCATTGATTTTGGTTATGGGCCACCGATATCAAAGTCGGTACTAACTTAAATCCTAGCGTATCCATCGTGCTATATATACTCCTCTCAGTTTTCATTATTTCTGACATACAACATCCGTCTTCTAAGGTCTAACATTTTAAAAAAAAATCATCCATGTCATTTTAAAAAGTCGATATATACTATTATTTATGCATTTTCGTAATGACAACCTACTTATTTCTTATAGTTCATATTTCACTGATTGAATATTTCATCTCTCGCCTTACAATAGTATTGTCAGGTAAGTAAAAATTATGTTTTTTATTTTAATTCGTGCTTTAAATGTTTTTTTCTGCTTCTAGACGATCTTCTTATGTAAATATATTGCCTAATAGTGCTTTCTTTCAAAAAAATTATGAATTTTCTGAAGCGACTAGCAATCATCCCCTCTGTGATCCCAGATTTTGCCATATCACCTGCCTCATCTCAAATCGTTTTTACAGAATATGAACATTTTTTCTGCCGATGTTTACAACTATAAATTTACAGGTTGGTTGAAGTGTAATTATGACTATCCTAAAGCCATATCGTATATGTATTCTGAATTTCTGATCCATTGGGTTTGGGATCGTAAAAACGTCAATGGCATCCTCGTCTTCGCGGCAACTCCAAACCGAGTATTATAGCCAAATGTAACCCTAACGCTGGTGAAGCCTACTACTTGAGGGTTTCATTGCATGTCGTTCGCGATCCATGTTTTTATATGAATATAAAAACAATTAATGATGTTGTCCACCCTACTTTCAAAGATGCATGTTATGATTTGGGTTTAATTCACGATGATACTGAGAATATCGAAGCTTTCTAAGAGGCAGGTCAATGGGTTCCCGCTCCTCTCTTCGAATGATGTACACTGCTTTGTTACATGCATGTTCTATGATAAATCTCTTTTGTGTTTGGAGATTCATTCAATGTTTTTTAGTATAAATTTTGTCAATTCTCTACATTGTCTTTGATTTTTTTTTCCTTAATTATCTTATTTTAAAAACTTCTTAGATTTTTTCGGTGTGTTTGGATTTTAATTATTTTCCCTAATGTACTTTATAAATTTAATAATCATCAATAAAAATAAAAGATTAAACAGATTTCTAATTAGTTTTTGCTAATTAATAATTTATGTATTGCTCTTATTTTTACACATTTATAATTGTTATTTATTGTTATAAAAGACGTACATATATTTTTTCCTGATAAATCATATCTACTGCTCTTACTTTTATTCACCTATAATTCTTACAACTTTGAAGTAGAAGTATAAAGAAGAAGATGTAGTTGATGATAAGAACTAAAAAAAGATGAATTTGAATAAAACCATGGAGAATAAGAAGCATATGAGAACATGAAACAGTAAAGACGAATAAGGATAAGAAAAAAAGATGTTAGAGTTAAAGAAAGAAACCGGAAGAAAAAAATGAAAGATGAAGAAAACAAAGTAAGAGAAGGAGAAATGGGAAAATGAAGTAGCCAAGTAGGTGAAGATGAGAAATAGATGAAGAAAAACTAGAAGAAGAAGAGTTTGATGAGGACCAAGAGGAATAAGAAGTAGAGATAAATAAGGCTAATAAAA